GGGCCGCTGAGGCTTAGAAAAGACAGAAAGAATGAAAGCTGGGTCTCAGTGGGACACTGCTTCTCTGAGAGACAGTGATGACGTCCACAAGCCGTGTCTTTATTTTATAGCAGATGCCACGAGGCAAAGTGAGGGTGTGGTCAAGGTGTTTATAACATTCTGGTGGATTTCCATCCTACTCAACTACATGCACCTGAACCCTATCAAGCCCACATCACTCGGGCACGTGGGACTGTGTTCGGACCATAAGTTCAAGCTTACAACTATAGCCGTTGGCTATCATTGTGCCCGCCAAGCTGAAACTTGCACGTGGCCATGAGAGGACTGTGCCCTCTCATTAGTCCAAGGTTTATACCTGTACAAACACTCTAGCCCCGTGGTTTTCAACCTTTCTAATGCCTCAACCCTTTAATACAGTTTATCATGTTGTGGTGAGCCTAAGACGATCAGAAAACACAGATATTTACATTACGATTCATAACAGTAGCAACATTACAGTTATGAAGTAGCAACGAAAACAATTTTATGGTTGAGGATCACTTCTAATACAATGAGGAACTGTATTAAAGGGTCACGGCATTAGAAAGGTTGAGAATCACTACAGCCACTTTTCACACTTTTTTCCCTTGCTGCGTCTAGCTCACTTTAGCTGCTAAAGGTTTGTTAATTTTATCTTTTCAGAGAACCAGCTCTTGGTTTCATTGATCTTTTATTTTTAGTCACTATTTTTATCTATTTCTGCTTGGATCTTTATTTCCTTCTAACTTTAGGCTTCATTTATTCTTTGCTTTAGATCTGTAAGGTGCAAAATTAGGTTGAGATTTTTCTTATTTCTTGAGGTAGGCATTTATCACGATGAAAACTTCCTGTTTTTGCTGCCTCCCGTCAGTTTTGGTGTACTATATTTTCATTTGTCTCAAGGTATTTTTTTTTTTAATATACTGATTTTTTTTTTTTCAGAGAGGGAGAGGGAGAGTTAGAAACATCAATGAGAGAAACATTGACCAGCTGCCTCCTTCATACCACCCCCCAGGGATATGCCCGCAACCAAGATACATGCCCTTGACGACCGGAATCAAACCTGGGACCCTTCAGTCCACAGGCCAATGCTCTATCCACTGAGCCTAAGCAGTTAGGGCTCAAGATATGTTTTTATTCCTTTGTTGACTCATTGGTTATTCAGTGGCATGTAGTTCAATCTTATCATATTTGTGAATTTTCTAGTTTTCTTATAATTGACTTCTAATTTTATACTATTGTGGTTGGGATTCTTGATATGATTTCAATCTTGATATGATTTCAATCATAACAATTTCAAACTTGTTATGACTTTATATGACCTATTATGATGTTAATGTGGATTTGGAAAATGTGTCTTCTATTGTTTTTGGATGGAATGTGTTGTGTATCTGTTGAGGCTGATGTTTCCTTATTGATTTTCTTTCTGGATGCTCTAGCCATTGATGTTAAGTGGGGCATTAAAAGTTCCCTACTGTTATAGTATGCTATTTCTCCCTGTAGGTCCGTTAATATGTGCTTCACATGTTTAGATGCTCATGCACACATCTTTATTCCACTGGCTATGATGCAGTGACCAGCTTCTCCCATTGTGCTCTGAGTCTTCCCCCCTTCCCGCCCCCCTAAAATCTTCGCTGATAGTTTTACATATGCCCCTTTTCCCAGCCTGCCACTGTGCCACCCCACCCTAGACCTTCACCTCCCACATTGTCTGTATCCACGGGTTATGCATATGTGCATGAGTCCCATTTTTTTTTTCTTGACTATACAAGGAATTCCTTTTCTCAGGTATCCTTTTTCCTGCAAAATCAATCTCTACCCGTTTCATTTCTATTTGCATGCTAGCAAACACACTCATATACAAAATGCCTCCATCTCTCAGCTCTATTTTAGAGCAGCTTCCCATGAGTTCTACAGCCATTTATCCCGCTTTACATTTGATTACTTAAAAAATGTGTATTTTTTTTCTTTTTTTTATTAAGGTATTATATGTGTACATATCTTACCATTGCCCCCCCCCCCCACTACCATACATGCCCTCCCTCACCAGAATTTTTCGTTCATTCGTTATGCTTATATGCATGCATACAAGTCCTTTGGTTGATCTATCTCCCCCATATCTCCCTATCCTCCCCACTGTAATCTGACAGTCTGTTGCTTTACTATCTCTGTATCTATCTTTTTGTTCATCAGTTTATAATATTCTTTATTATCTATAAATGAGTGAGATCATGTTGTGAAAAAATGTGTATTTTCATTTGTAAGTGTCCAAAAATCACTGCTGACTAGTTAGAGATGTTTCCTTGGAAACATTTTTCTGTTAATTTAGGTGCAGATTTACCTATAGAGATAGACAGCAAGTCTTGTGGTTTATACAAATGGAATCATACAGTCCTGAATTAATAGTTTTGCAACTTTACTTCACGTAGTCACTGAGACTTTCCTATTTTAGTAGTAATAGCTCCTTATTCTGTGAAAACTTGAAAGGATATGAGAAGTGTGACTTGCAGGTCATTTCTGACCACTCTCCCCAGTTCCCACCCATCTGGCTTCCATCCCAATTGCTCCATAGAACTTCTTGGGTCATGCCACCACCTGTTTTATGTTCCTGTCAAACATTTGATGGTTGACACCCCTTCTTCTTTGAAATCCTCTTTACTTTGGGACTAAAACCCCTTTCTGGTTTTCCTCCTCCTCGGGCTTCCCTTAAGATTTCCCTGTTGGTTCCTCTCTACTGGTCTCTAAATGTTGAAGTTCGTCAGGCAGCACTGAGTGCTCTTTACTCAGAATTCTCTCCCTGGGTGAGCTCACATATTCCTGTTTTGAAGAGCCATCTACATGACATCTTCTAAATTCCTACCCCAGCAAGGCCTGTCCTGAGTTCCAGGTTAGTACCCAGCAGCCTGCAGGACATCTTCATTTGAATACATACCACTGGAGCATCCGTCTTCACACATCCAGGGAACATGACAACATGACCTCTTCAATTTTCATCTATTATAATGGTCTGCAAACTGCGGCTCTTGAGCCACATGTGGCTCTCTGGCCCCTTGAGTGTGGCTCTTCCACAAAATACCACAGCCTGGCCGAGTCCATTTTGAAGAAGTTGTGTTAGAAGAGGTTTAAGTTTAAAAAATTTGGCTCTCAAAAGAAATTTCAGTCGTCGTACTGTTGATACTTGGTTCTGTTGACCAAGGAGTTTGCCGACCATTGGTCTATTACAACTTGAACTACCAAGTTGCTCAAACCCTAAAGCTAAACTTTATTCTAGAATTCTACTCCTGTAAGTTACTGGATCTTCTTTCCTAAATGTTATGGGAACAGGACAGTTTCATCTCTACCCCCTCCCTCAGTCACAGCCATTGCTCTCTCTGGCCTTGATCTCCGCCAAGGCCTGACATTGCAGACCTCCCCCACCATTTCTCATACAGCTGCCAATAACTCCCGTTGGAGTACGTACTTTAGCTCTGGCTTATCCTTCCACAGCTTAGAGTTGTACATAGAACAAGGCAGGCCTCAGATAACTGGTCCCTGCCACTCGATCCAGCTTTCACTCCTGCTTCGCTATCATGTACCAAGCTCGTTGACTCAGGGCCTTTGTGCATGCTGCTCGTTCTAACGGAACTGCAGGTTAGTCCAGGTCTGTCACCTCCCAGAACTCTGCCCCAACCACTCCATCCAGAGCCAGGCTGTTCTTCTTCTCCATTATGGTGTCTGTGTGCTTGTTGTGACCGTGTATAAAATTCCTGTCTATCATTCCCCTGTTTGCATGTAATCTCTGGGAAGGGTATCTTACAGTTAAAGCCCTAGTTTCGCACAGAATAAGCATTGTGAATATTTTGAAGGACCATCTAAGTCAGTGGTCAGCAAACCGCAGCTCACGAGCCACATGCGGCTCTTTGGCACCTTGAGTGTTCTAACACCACTTCTTCAAAATAGACTCGCCCAGGCCGAAAACCGACTTCTGTGCATGGGCCACAAAGTTTCAATGGCACTGTACGTGCATGCCTGCACGTGGTATTTTGTGGGAGACACACACTCAAGGGGCCAAAGAGCTGCATGTGACCTGCACACCTGTTTGCTGACTACTAAGTTCAACTCTAATTTTAGATGAGAAAAGGAAGCCAGGAAAGGGACCATCATTTTACTATTTATTCAGCCTGCTGTGCAATGAGAGCCAAGTACACGGGCTCCGGACTCCCCTGGTTGGAATCTCAGATCCTCTGACCAGTGTGATGCTGGGGAAATTCCTCAGACTCTTTGGCCTGTTCTCTCGCTGGGAAATGGAGTTTATATACCCACCTTTTTGGAGGCAAGGATTAATTAAGGATGCTGTGGGGCATATGATTAAGTCTAGGATTTCTTAATTACTATTCAAATTTTAAAATTTCAAGCATTCTCCCAGCGCTTTGCTGTCTCTAAACTTCCTGTTCTTTGAGTGAAATAACCAGTAACTTCCACACACTTGATCACTCAGGTTGGAACTTCTAGCTACCCTCCAAAACTAGTTTTTTAGCTACTTTGAGGGATCACAATTCCCATGGTAACGTTTGCAGGAATTCTCTTGTGCGCTGCCCACGAAGAATTTCTGATAGGACAGGAGTCAACTGAAGCTCACGGGACCTTGGGACAGGAGTCTCAAACCAGAGAAACAATTCCTTCATGGGTGGACGTTAGTTTGGGCCACACTGATCATTCAGAGAGCACAGGGGATTTGCCTGCAGGAGTAGAGAATGCTATTTTCTCTGTTCTTAAGGATAAAACAACAATAGAATTTAAAAATAGTAATATATTACCTATATTACCTACATTGCTCTCAACAAGATTTTCCTAGAAATACACGAAAGTAGTAACAATACAAAAGAAAAATCTTAAAAAGCTATCAGTGACCCACAAGAATACATGAAAATAATTAGGACACTAAATACCTTCTAATTGGCCACTTTTCATTTATTTTGAAAGCTAGTCAAGACACCAGACAGTTTTAAAAAGGGTAGAATTAATATTTTATTGTCATTTATAATCAGATGGTAGCTGAGTATATAGTCTCTATACTTGATCTATTTTCTTTTTTTTTTTTGTAAATAAAAAAAATTACAAGAGCCGATGGCTGGTTAACATGATTAAACGAATTCATTGATGGTGGCTTCGAGTTTTTCCTTATTAGCTCCAGAAAACTCACCCACCTGTTAAGAAAATATTGAACTGACATTAGATGGTAGAACTGACATTAGATGGTAGCACTGTTATCTCCAATTTTGTGCATAAGACAGGATCACAAAATGGGGGCCAAGGAGAGAGATAATCTTATTCAAAATTAACACTTTGGATAACACAGTTTTAAGTTAGAAACTAAGAGAAAATAGCCCCTCAAGAACAGGCAAAAGACTCAAATACCTCTTAACAAGGACAAATATACTTCGTTATAGACTATGAAGTACCAGCCACAGATTTAGTGACTGGGTCTAGCAAAAAATCCATTTTCAATTAGATGCCACACTATGTACCTCAGTCACTGAAGAATGGCCTATTTAAGTAGTTCTTAAAAAGTAAACAGTGGGGACATGCTTCTCTGTATGAAGGAATAAGTAACTTCTGTTTCTTCATTTATTTCATGTTTTCCTATTACTCAGCTTTCTTCAAGGTCAAATGTACCTACCTTTTGTCCCTTTTTAAAAAACTGGAAGGTTGGCATGCATTTGACTTCACACTCTGCAGCAACATCCTGGGTTGGGTGGGGGAGGGTGGTTGGAGAGAGAATAAAAATAAAACTTAGTGTTGAACTTGGACAGAAGCACAGAATCCAAAACCGGATTCTTTTTTCTGTGGTATAATCCATATCTCAGCATTAGGCCTTTATTTAGCACATAAAAATCGACAAAGAATATAATGGGAACACAAAGCCCTCGTTATAGTCTCAATTAAAATTCTTATTAATATGTACCCTCCTCAGAGGGGCACCGAGGAAGGAGCCGAACGCTACTTGCATCCGATACTATCCGGTGAGTCAAGAAGCTGTTTAGTCCAATTGTATCTTGACTATTTCAAGAACCTCATAAAGCAACACTTTTTTTTTTTTTTAATATACTTTATTGATTTTTCAGAGAGAAAGAGAGTTAGAAACATTGATGAGAGGGACCAGCTGCCTCTTGCACACCCCCTACTGGGGATGTGCCCGCAACCAAGGTACATGCCCTTGCCCGGAATCGAACCCGGGACCTTTCAGTCCACAAGCCGACGCTCTATCCACTGAGCCAAACCGGTCCCGGCAAGCAACACATTCTTTAACTGTACTCGGGGTTATAATCCCAGCTATTCCTCAGAATTAGCACCTTTATCTTTGCTGCTCCTTTTTCCAGATTATGGGAATGGGGCACAGAGATGATGATCAAGGCGAAAGGCCAGTGTGTTAGAAAGAGGGGCAAACTGCTTGTGAAAAAATTGTTCCAGGATAACGTCACAGGGATTCTAAAGGAGCATGCACTGGTTCTTGTTTCTTTTGTTTTTCATTACAATTTTACTTGCCAGTTCTCACACAAACCCGGCTGCATCATCAGAATCGCGTGAGGGTCAATGTAAGGCTGAACCCCATCTGATGCTAATGGTCGAACCTCCATGGGCCGCCCAGTGGAGACAAATGGGCCAACGCCAAACACTGAATCGGGCCGGCAGGTCGGTGGGCTCCTATCTCCTCCTCCCCGGCCGGCTCTTCCCGCACCCAAGATGTTTCTGCAGCTCAGAGGCCAGGGAGCATTCTTCCGTTTTGTCACAGGCACTTTTAACACAATACTCTGCTCACGTAAGGTTTGGAGGGAAATGCCGTGAAGACAGTCTTGTTTGGACAAGTGTTTTGGGTGAAGAGGGCTGGTAAGGGCTGGACCGTGCCCGCTCGGCACTCGAGAGAGGAGCAGGTAAGAAACGGAGAGTCTGATGTTTTAATAGCACTGAGTCAATATTGCAGGAACACAGTATTCCTATCATAGCCCCCTCAGCAGCAAACCTGTGCAGGGAGCAGCCCAGGCAGCAGAGCCCCAGACCCAGATCTCGGAAATGCAAGAACTTCCGTGGGGTTTTCCCTGGCCACATTGTCTCAGAATGTCATGGTCAAATCCCCAAAATGTCAGACTGAGTTAGACAAATTTGGGAGTCTGACATTTTATTTTTTTAAATATATTTTTATTTGATTTCAGAGAGGGAGGGAGAAACATCCATGATAAGAATCATGGATTGCCTGCCTCCTGCATGCCCCCTACTGGGGATTGAGCCCACAACCCGGGCATGTGCTCTTGACCAGGAAATAGAACCCGGGCCCCTTCAATCCTCAGGCCAATGCTCTAGTCCAGTGATCGGCAAACTCATTAGTCAACAGAGCCAAATATCAACAATACAATGAAATTTCTTTTGAGAGCCAAGTTTTTTAAACTTAAAACTATACAGGTATGTACATTGTTATTAACTTAATTAGGGGACTCCTAAGCTGGCCTTTGCTAAGAATTCAAGGGGCCCAAGAGCCGAAGTTTGCCGACCACTGCTCTAGTCACTGAGCCAAACCGGCCAGGGTGGGAGTCTGACATTTTAATAGTACTGAGTCAATATTACAGGAACATAGTATTCCTATCACAATCTTCTATGGACTTGACCTTTGCTCTACAAAGTTAATGTTTTACTTCTGTCACTTTTGTTTTCTTCTTGTTCTATGGACTGGTTTGCTATTTCTGTAGTGATCTCAAAGTTATGCGCACTTAAAAATTAAGGCGTTACCTCCCAGACTTTGAAAACATTCTTACCACTCCCCTCTTAGAAAGGAAAAGCCAGCCTACTCCCCCACCGCACCCCCACTTCCTGTCTGTGTGTGTTTCTTTTTAGTGAGCAATCTGGAATTGTAAACTGACATATAGTAAAATTCACTGTTGGGGGTGTGTGTGGACAAGTTCTGACACTTGCATAGTCCTGCACACACCCCCAAACCAGGACACACAACCATCCCCCCAGCCCCCCCAATTCCCGTCAGCAGCTCCTTCGTAGTCAAACCCTCGCTCACCCCAGCCCCTAGCAACAACCGACCTGTTCTCCGTCCCTACAGCTTTACCCTGTCTCCGATTTTTATTAGCTTTTACTAGTAACTAGACTACATTTTACCTTGTTTTATTGGCTTCTGGCTTACACTCCATATGGTGAAATCACTTTAAACCTGCTTTTGTCCCCTCTGTTTAACTCACTTCTGGCTGATCTAAAATGTCACAACTATCAGGGCTAAAGCACCGGTTTCCTGTTTTAATTCACCGAAGCACCACGCCCTGCGGAGAGCTGAGAGCCCATGGTCCCCAAGGGCTAGTCTGCAAACTTCCCGGGGAGTACTGGGTTTCCCTCGTGTACCACACTCCGTGTCCATGCCTCCCAGCTGCCCGCTGGAATCTATTACACCCACAAGACAACTTCTTCCTGTCCTCGGTTATAGCTCCCTCTTTCAAAACTGTGTGCTGCTTGCTCCAAAGACATTATAAAGGTATGAATCGTAATGTAAAATATCTGTTTTCCGATGGTTTTAGGCTCTAGAGCAGCAGTTCTCAACCTGTGGGTTGCAACCTTACAGTTATGAAGTAGCAACAAAAATAATTTTATGGCTGGGGGTCACCACAACATGAGGAACTGTATTAAAGGGTAGAGGCATTAGAAAGGTTGAGAACCACTGACCTAGAGTTTCCAAGCAACCGGAAGAGCCACTCACGTAATTCATGAATTCCATGGCGAAATGACTCACTGTTTGCTTTCTGTTTGAAGGACCAGGTGAGGAGGAGCTGAGGGACTGCAGCTATGTGCATGTAGGGTCAAAGGGTTCTGGAATCCAACTTTTACCTCAGCCACAGGTAAGGCTCCTGAGGTGGTTGTGATAGCGGCCGTTAAAGGTATTCAACCTTTAGAACAGGGAGGCCAAATGAAAGGCCCCAGTGTGTGAGTGGGCACTTCAGGGTTTGGAAACTCAGGGTGATTAGGAGTATGCCAACCAGACGCGCAAGAGCAGCTCAGGCATAAGCAGTCCTGCCTGCTCTGCTCCCCGGAGGGGGTAAGAGCGCTGGGCCTAGGCTCCTGGGCCTCAGCTCAACAAGCCCTCCTGCTCCCGCCCTCCCCCCAAACTCTGCCTTGATTGACATACCTCTGTGCTACAGTCCACTAGCTCTTCAGCGGGGGTGCTAAGAAGCTCTTCTCAGAGTTCCCGTGAGGATTAGGTGACCTCACGCATGCATAGAGCTCCCCACAACATCTAGCGCCTGGTATTACTTTCCAAAAAAAAGTGTATTTGGTTGCTCTCTGACAGGCTCAGCACCAGAAGTTTCTCTCAAGGCTTTAAGTTGGAAAAAACCCTCGCTCCCTGTTTTAACCTCACACGTACTATCTACTCTCAATTCCTTTTCTTCCCTAAAACTATGCCAACACGCCGGAACAGCAGCTCGACAACCATCCATTTCCCACCGCCTGCATGCCAGGAGGTGTGCTCGGCGAAGACACAAACCTGGTGAGCATGACCGTTCCTGAGGCCAAGGGCAGACACACACAGGCCATTATAAAGATCCAGTGAATGGTAAACGTGTGCCAGGAATTGTTCTGAGCACTTTCTAGGTGTTATCTCATTTAATCCTGATGACTACCCTCTGATGTTGCATTAACACTGCCATTTTACAGAGGCTCAAACGGAGGCACAGGAAAGATAACCTGCCTTGTCCAGCTAACAAGGGACAGAGCGGGGGGAGGGTGCAGGCAGCCTCCTAGGAAGAGGATCCAGCCCATTCCACAGTTGTAAACGCCAGAGGAAAAGGGGCCAAGGACACCATGGGTGCAGAGGAAGGACACTGACCTATCTGGGCACAAAGGGGGGCTCCCGGGAAAGATGTGAAGCCTGCAGCTAGGACTTCACCAGCGGGAAAGACAAGAGCACAGAGTGAGGGGACGCGTGTGGAACTGGTGGACGTGCTGCGGGAAGGTCCTTCCAGACTTAGAAAGTATAACCCTGTACCCGCTTTTATCAACCCTTTAGTTACATTCCACAGTTGCTCAACAAATATGCAACGTTGGCCAGCTGACGGGGCAAGCACTAACATCTGACCAGAGCTCAAGGAAGGATTAGCCGGAAGCAGGAGTCCCTGAGCCGGGACTGGAACCACGGTCTGGCACCTTTGCTGCCTGCCACCGAGGCGGGGGGCAAATGCCCGCCTCGCTCTAAAGAGCGCCCGTGAGACGCCTTAGCAGGCGCTCCTCGCCCAGGGGGCTACGAGAGGCACTGTGCTGGGAACCTGATCTCCACCCCCCACACCACGGAGGGGCCTTGAGTGAGAAAGAGCAAGGGCTGGGAAGCCAGCGACCCCTTTTCAAACCCAGGCTCTGCCACTGGGCCTCCATGGACCACCTCCCACCTCTGCTTTTCTCTTCTGTAAAACGGGGGTGATGGCACCAGGATTTAGATGTAAGGCACAGGACAGTGCTAAACATCAAGTGCTAAACAAGCATTTGCTAATTCAACCAACTTGGAATCTTCCCTCAATCATTCTCTCTGCTCCCTCCTAGGTAACTTGGTGCTTAAAGACGGTTGGGTTTTCTAATTGACCAAAATCAACTAAAACTAGGATAGAATAAGTGTGTGAATATACTTTCTCATGTCAATACTTCACAAGAACCTTAAAAGTGGTCTCCACGTTTGGTGATAACCATCAACTCTATAGGGTGAGGTAGAACATAAAGGTGTTTAGAGGGGAGATAACTGGGAAGTAAAGTACCGAAACACATACCTCTTGATGTCTGGGCTTAAGCTCAGAGCTGGCACAGGTACCTGTCCATTCAAAAGAAAACCTTTTAGCAAAGGAGCACTCCAGATTCCCAGCCACATACCTGACAGTCATCCACGTCTACTTCCAGGAATATCACGTTGGAATACTTCTCGGAGAGGGACTGGAGCGTTTGAAACGAAAAGCACACAGAGAATCAGAGCTTGTTAGCGGCAGTCCACCCCAACCTTCTTACACGGAAATATCATAAAAAATGCCAGCACTTAGACTGGGGACCAGGTAAGCGTAAGAATCAAATTCCTCCAAAGTTATTGGAGTCAAATAACTCGAGGCCCCAATTTCAGAGAGAGCGGCGCCCATGTTTTAAAAAGAACTAAAACAAAACTACTGAGACAAGTGAATTGGCTTCTAAAGGTTGTCCTCAGCGGGTTGTGTGTCAGAGCTAACTTACTCAGGTGGTTACATTATTACTTTTAGACCAAAGACCAGACAGCCACCACCCACTAACTGTTGTTTTTCTCTCTCTAGGGTTGTGACCACCCGCCCAGCAACACCCATCACCCAGAGCAGCAGGCGCTCGGCACTCACATGGAAGAAGGGCTTGATCATCTTGCAGGGCCCACACCACGTGGCGGAGAAGTCGACCACGACCAGCTTATCTCCCGCACTGTTCAGGGCTTCCTGGAAAGCGTACTAAGGAAAGAGGAAAGGCATGTAAATAAATAAAAACAAAAAGCCCCAATAAAACAGCACAATTCAGAGGTCCTGGAAGCAAAACCTAACTTTTAATAGAAGAAACCCAAAGAAACTGTTTGAAAAACAAACAAAATCCACAAAATCCTTTGGTGGTGTTTGTAATATTACTTGATAAGATGAAACAAATATGTGTATAGTGTATCCATACTCATGTGTCTGAATATTTTATAAAATTAGTCAATCTATATCCAAACTAAAGAAAAAAAAATACACATTTGTATTAAAAATGTTTCCACATCAAATCTAGGTACAGGGTAACCTCATTTTTCAAACTTCATTCATTCCCGAAAGCTGTTTGAAAACCGAATCCTTTTTTTCTCCCGTTAGAAATATAATCCATTCCAGGCCCCCAAAGATTCTGTTTTAACCTTTCTTATAGACAATATATGTTTATTCTGTGTAATCCGTAAATAAATACTTTAAGTACAGAAAGGACATGAATTGTAAATGAGAATTTAACAAAAAATAAAGGAAATGTATAGTAAAAACGAAAATTTTACAAATTATAAGTAGCAACAAAAACAAAAACAAAAAAAACCCCACAAAAATATTCACAGCACAATATCCTGACATCTTACAGTAACAAACGGACTTATATTTTCGCAATTTCTCCTTTGTCACCTGAGAGATGTGTGACTCATCCTACAAGCATCAGCATGAAAGGGTTGTCAGGTTGAAAAGCGAATACCGTGTTTCCCCGAAAATAAGACATTCCCTGAAAATAAGACCTAGCTCAACTTTGGGGAAAAAAATTAATATAAGACACTGTCTTTTTTTCGGGGAAACAGGGTAGTTCGAGATGCGAGACGTTCGAGAAACGAGGTTCCGCTGTATTTTCGACAATTTACTAAATGCTCAACAGGTGAAAAGGGTTCACTGAATTAAATCGTCACAAAGGCACAGGATTTTGCTCTCTACAACTCAAGTTTTTTTTAATCTAATAGTTTTTTCATTAAATTAATATTTCCTATGGTGGAACTTTCCAAAAGCAAAAGAAAGGAAAAGGAGCCTCCTCCAAATGCTTACATCCAGTCGCTGGCGACATTGAGCATATTTCCTTGTATTCCTTTTATTTTTTAAATATATTTTATTGATTTTTTACAGAGAGGAAGGGAGAGAGATAGAGAGCCAGAAACGTCGATGAGAGAGAAACATCAACCAGCCGCCTCCTGCACACCCACTACCGGGGATGTGCCCACAACCAACGTACATGCCCCTAACTGGAATCGAACCCGGGACCCCTCAGTCCGCAGACCGAGGCTCCACCACTGAGCCAAACCGGTTTCGGCCCTTGTATTCCTTTTAAATGGCATTTCCAGAGTTCAGAACTGTGGATAGTTGACTTCTGCCCTTTATCTCAAAACTCTGCCCTCATTGTTGACAGAATGAAAGACAGTTTTAGTTTCTCCTAAGGAATGCGTGTTAAATACAATGCCAGGAGCAGAAATGACCAAGAAATCCCTCTCCACCAGCCTCCCTGAATAATTTACTATAACCCTGGGAACCTAACCTTTCAATTAAGAAACTCATTTTAACCACAATTAGTCAGTCAGTGCTGATCAAAACCGGGGCAACGAAGAGAAATCAAGACACAAATATCCACACCGGAAGTCTAGGTTTTCTTCGAGGAGAAAATTGGGATCACACTGGTTTCATTAAAAAACGAATGTTCCCCTCCTCTGATAGCTAAGAATCAGATCAGATCTGGTCCCATAGAAAGGGAAGGAAATAAAGCACCACTAAGACCTCGAGTGAATTCCCCTGAAGTACAGTTACTTTTCTAGATTTCTAATTTCTACTTCACGTGTTTGGTTTTTTTTTGGGGGGGGTGGGGTGGGGGGATAAATCACAAATGGTGTTTCAAGATGGCATGTCATTACCTAAGTAACCCTTGCAGTTACGCAGGTACAGTCACCCTGCCTTTGGCAGTCGGAGGGGAGAGTCAGCTTAGAATGATAGAAATTGGCCCTAGCCGGGTAGCTCAGGTGGTGAGGGCACCATCTGATATGCCAAGATGGCAGGTTCCATCCCTGGTCGGGGCACATACAAGAATCAACCAATAAATGCATGAATAAATGGAACAACCATTTCTCCACCTCCTCCTCTAAAATAAAAAAAAGAATTCTAGAAATCACATTTCCAAATCATCACTGATTTTTCCAGATGAAATTTTTAGCAGGTCAAACAAGCCATTCTGCACAGGCAAGATCCAGATAAGACAGGAAAAAAGTCAAGGAATGAGACTGTCTGGTCAGACGAATACAGTGGACCCTTGAACAACACGGGTCCACTTTATATAAAGTGGGTCCGTTTATAAAGTTGCCCAATGAGTATAGACAACATTGTAAATGTGTTCTCTCTTCCTCATGACTTTCTTTTCTCTAGCTTATTACTTTCAACATAGAATATTATTTCAAACACTCTCAAGGAATTCCCCCAAACAATTCAGAATCAAATTCCAGCAAAACTATCTAAAAATCTGATAAGGAAAAGGCACGCAATAGGGACTTTGGTTCAAATGAACCTGAGTTGGAGCTTGGTATGTGTAGACTTCATAACCATTTCTCATCTCTTGATACTTAAAATTTACCTAACACAGACATCAGTTTGAAAAGGATTCAAAATCACTTCACTAAGAAGCAAACCACAATCCCTAGCTTCCAGGAACTATAAGTGAAAATTATTAAAGGTCCTGTTTACTGACACAAATATTTAAAAATAATTTTTTACATTCTCACCCAAGGATTATTTTGTTCATTGATTTTTAGAGAGTGGAAGGAGGGAGGGGAAGAGAGAGAGGGAAAGGGTGACACCCTAGCCCAGTGGTTGACAAACTCATTAGTCAACAGAGCCAAATTTTTAAAACTTAAACTTCTTCTAAGGCCACTTCTTCAAAATAGAATCTCCCAGGCCATGGTATTTTGTGGAAGAGCAACACTCAAGGGACCAAAGAGCCGTATGTGGCTCGAGAGCCGCAGTTTGCCGACCATGGCCCTAGCCTGTTTGGTTCAGTGGATAGAGCATCGTTCTGCAGACCTAAGGGTCCTGGGTTCCATTCCAGTCAAGGGCACACCCATATGTTGCAGGCTCCTCCCTGGTCCAGGCCCTGGTCAGAGCGCACGCAGGAGGCAACCAATCAATGTGTTTCTCTCACATCAATGTTTCTCTGTCTTTCCCTCTCTTCCACTCTCCCTAAAAATCAATGGAAAAATATCCTTGGGTGAGGATTTAAAAAAAAAAGGGGGAGAGAGAGAGAGAGAGAGAGAGAGAGAGAGAGACAGACATCACTGTGAGAGAGGCACATCAACTGGTTGCCTTCTGCATAACCCTCTAAAGCACATGTGTCAAACACAAGGCCCGCGGGCCAAATCCGTCCCGCCAGGCCTTGCAATGTGGCCCGCACCGCGCTGTCATCACTTCACTCCGCTGCGTTTCCATCACAATGACAGTTTATGACTGTTCAGTAAACCATTCGGCCCGCGATTTAGGCTGGATTTTGATTTTGGCCCCTTCTCTGATTGAGTTCGACACCCCTACTCTATTGGATCAGGGATGGGGGACTGAACCTGGAGACCAGTATGTGCACGGGTGGACTGGGAATTGAACCCGAGACCCTTCAGTGCTTGGGCAGACACTCTAACCAAGAGCCTGACACAAATATGTAAAAACAAAACTACGTTAGGTGGGGTACATAAATAGAAGCAGCGTCTAGCATCTCTTTTCCTAAACACAACCATCCCACAGATAATAAAAGCACAGGATTAGTGTGTAAAGCATTAAGCAAAGTGCCTGTGTTCAATAAATGACAGCTGGCATTCTTTAAAAAACAATAGCCAACTAAACAATAGTGAAAACGAAAAGAACCTGTGTGATTTCTTCCTCATCGCATTATCCCAACTGTATCTGAAACAGATCCCAGCGGCTCCAAGCTAATACCCACCCCCCCCCCCCACCTCTCCCCGGAAGCGTAGTTTTGGAAAATCAGTGTGGCACCAGGTCCACCAAGAAGAAAATCTCAAGTGTATTCGACATTTACAAATAACATTCAAATTAGTTTCCTTTTTGAATGCTCTAAATTATAAATCTGAAGATCAACTGATTATCAGAGCCTGATGTAGAGCTTCTTTGAGGAACAAATTTCTCACCACCCTTCTTCATCTCATTGATGAGGGGAGGAGGGCCATAAATAGGACCATGAAAACGGGGGAAACGGAAAGGTGTGCTCCCGGAATCACTCCATTGCCTGTCTGTGCTGCCTGGATTCTGAGACTAATCCAGACCCCTCAAAGGCGTTTCATCCTTCCCTGGGTGCTCACCTGTTGGGTTATACCAGTGGTCGGCAAACTCATGAGTCAACAGAGCCAAATATCAACAGTACAACAACTGAAATTTCTTTGAAGAGCCAAATGCTTTTATACTTAAACTTCTTCTAACACTACTTCTTCAAAGTAGACTCACCCAGGCCGTGGTGTTTTGTGGAAGAGCCACCCTCAAGGGGCCAAAGAGCCGCATGTGGCTTTCGGGCCACAGTTTGCTGACCATGGGGTTATACTGACGTGGCCAGACCCTGGACGAAACCCCTCACCCCATAAGCTGATAGCTCTCATTCAGTAGGTAGTAAATAAAAGTATGTAGAACAAAAATCAATGTTAAGGACCTCTGTTTTCAACAAATGGGAAGCCTGCTATTTTAATATAAATGCTCACAATGTAAAAAATGAATCCCAATAGGAAAATAAAATCATTAAGGACAAGCAGATAATAGACCACAAATAGCCAATCAACACATGTGGGAGAAGAAAAGTGAGTCACTAATCATCTATCAAAAGCAATTCCAACGAGAGTTTTCTTACTGACGACCTGGCCAAAGTTAGGGGGGAAAGTCCATGCAGAGAGGAAAGGGCGGGGCACACACATGCTTCCAGCGCCAATGACAGGCCTTAAAGGTTCCCAGCACTTAGCCCAGGCGCTGCCCTCCAGGCCCAGACCCCAGCACAGGACAAAACAGCCACTGAGGCCACGAAAACACTGCCCAAATGTCCAGCAGTGTGCTCAGATACTGACATGGCTACAAAAAGCTTCTGATTGCATGTAAACTATTCAGGCTAAACTCTACAGGAAAATAAAAGCTCAGAAACAAAATAGCATCTAGACATAACATAATGTCAATTACTTTGTGGCTTGTAGGACATAGCAAATCCCTCTCGCCCCAATCTTTCTACAGTGATCACATATATTATCTGGTTCTAAAAGTGACAAGAAGATAAGGGACCATTACAGAAAAAAAAAAGGGGGGGGGGAGGGGGGTCCTCTAAGCCTGCCCCAGCATCTAAAGGGTCCCGGGCCTCCGGGTTCCCTGGGGTGGGACTGTCGTGGGGGTGAACGAGATTCTCCCACTGTTCCAGCAACATCAATTCCCTCCCCCTCACTTTTCTGGATCTGCATTGAACACACATTTCTTGGGTGGCTACAGCATACCAGGCACTGTGTGTGTGTTAGGCTCTCGGGTTTTCAGGCGGGAAGGTATCAGTTCGCAGGAACTTTCCTGCCTGGGGCATCCTAAAGGATGGACCCACCCCCTGGGTGCCCGAAAACCGCTCCCGGGGGCATTCCTGGCTCCGGCGGGGGTTACCGGCCCCGGTGAATCACACGGCCGGGCAGGGCGCGGAGGTCCGGGCCGGCTTCGGGCACTGAGTCATCCCGGAGCCAGCGCCGCCGGAAACACGCCCCGCGCCGCGGGAGGAGGAGCCCGAGGGCGCGGCCGGACCTCACTTCCTCGCGGGCACCTGGGCCTCCGGGGCTGGGGCGGTCCGGGTCCCGGTCCGGGGCACCCAGGGAAGTGGAGCGGGTTCCCCGGCCCGGAACCACCCGCCCTGCCAGGGTGCAGTCACGTCTGGGGCACAGCCCCGGGGGAGCAGCCGGGGGTCTCCGTCCCAGATCCGCTCCCGGGGAGCCCACCCCGCCCCACGGCGCGCGGGGATCACGCCACTCACCGGGGAGGGTGTGGCGGCCAGCACCCCCGGTATTCTCCAAAGGGCCCTCCATTTCCTGGCCGGGACGCCAGGAAATATATAGGGGGGCCAAGAGCGGACTCCCTGCACCCAAGCGAAGAGTTCCCAGACACGGGTGGTGCAGGAAGCGCAGGGAGAGGACGCCCGCACCCTCCACGCGCGCGTGCATTTCCCTCCTGCGCCCTGGGCACCGGACCCTGCTCTGCAGGGGGCTCCCGTCCCTCTCCTCCCTTCCTCCCTCCAGGGCGCGCCCAGGCACGGGCTTCCAGCAGCCCCAGGCCGGACCGCCGCGTCCCCTTCCTCCGGGATGCGGAGCGGCGGCCTGCCCACCGCGGCCCATCGCCCTCCCCGCCGCCGCGGAGGCCACGCGCCGCGCCCCGGCCTCGCGCACACCTTGCTCTCGATCTGCTTCACCATGTTGGCGGCTGAGGTCTGACCGGCGACCGTGGGAAGCGATGCGAGTGGATGGAAAGCTGCAGACCGGGCGGAGACAGCGCGCAGACCGCCTTCCCTTTATAGTCGCCGGGGCGCGGGGCGCGGGCGCGCGCGGCGTGCGTGTGGCGGGGGCGCGCCCGCTCGGCCTCCCGCGCCCGCCCCGCCCCTGCGCCGCGGCCAGGCCCGCCCTCTGGGGCCGCTCCACGGGGCGGGGCCGCGGCCTGGGGCGGGGCTTCCGCGGGCCCGGGGCGGACCTCGGGGGGGGGGTATCCCCATGGCCCCCTCACCCCCTCTAACCTTTACCACCACCCTGCCCTCCCTGCACCCCCTCCCCGCTCCCGGTACCCCAGCTGGGGCCGGGGTCTGCAGGGGCCACAGAGCGACTTATGGGGCTCGTGCACTAGGAGGGACCTGGGGCGGCGGGCAGCCCCTCCCTGAGCCACAGGCAGGTTCACCTGGGAAGGGGTCAACCAGGCCTTATTCGAGCACGGCCAGGCCCCTAAAGGAGCCGCCTAGCCAGGGCTGCATTCATCGGAAAGGCCTGCCACACCCACACCCACACCCACACCCACACCCACACCCAGGGTCCCCCTAAAGTGCTGAGTAACCATGACCAGGAAGTATATCTGCGCCGCCGCACCCCCTCCTGCTCTTCTGCATTTAAAGCGGTGGTTTTTCTTTCCCCTCCTGCCTTTTCTTTCACTTTCACTGAAGAGGCCACTGCCCCAGTGACACAGCACTTTCAGCTTGGAGACAGGCAGGGGAACTGGCCCAGCTCTTGGAAGGGCAGACTTGAGTGGAGAGCAAGGAGGATAGGCCAGGTAGGGAAGCTCAGCAGGGCTGGAAGCCCCTGTGCCTAGCAACTGGGAAAACAAAAGATCCCCCTCCAGGGTAACCTTTCCTCCCCTGCATATGCTGGTCCTGTCATATACCCCCTCACCCCCAAAGAGGGGCCTCCTGGGGCTCCCAGGGGGTTCTTGCATGGCCAGTCCCCTAAGCATTAACCCCCAGGGATAACATCTAGGCCTCAGTTGGGTTTCAGCTCCAAGCCCAGGAAAGTAGCAAAACCGAACAAGGGATACATGGCTGAGGTCAGTACCAGCGTCATCTACTAAAGACCCTGCCAGGGCACCGACCAATCCGTGGAGACCCAAAGGTCACTCCTGGAAAGCTGAGGAATGTTCTGTGGAGATCCTCTCCTGGGATTGCCCCTAAAATCCCCACCCTAAAAAGCCCTTAGAGACTTTTTGCTATTTTGTTCCACAATACCCTGTTTCCCTGAAAATAAGACAGTGTCTTATATTAATTTTTCTCCCAAAGTTGTGCTAGGTCTTATTTTCAGGGGATGTCTTATCTTTCCATGCGCTAAGTCTTATTTTCGGAGGATGTCTTATTTTCGGGGAAACACGGTACTTTCACGGAGAACCCAGCCTACCTGCTCCCTTCTACCAACAATGCTGAATCCCACAAAGTGCGTCTGACTCCACCATCTTAACACTTAGCATCATTTTTGCTGCCGCCAACAATCTCAGATGCACAAAAGCAAGCAAACTACAGGCCTAAGACATGACTTTTGCCAAGCAAACTACAGGCCTAAGACATGACTACCTACCATGACCCACTTTTAGTTAGGAATTTTTACGCTCAGACCACCCTGTGTGGTTCCTGTTTTTTTTTTTTTTTGTTTGTTTGTTTTTTTTTGTGTGTGTGTGTGTGTGTGTGTGTGTGTGTGTGTTTAATTTTATTGATTTCAGAGAGACAGGGAGAGAGAATCATTGATCAGTTGCCTCCTGCACATCCCTACTGGGGATCAAGTCCTCGGCATATACCTGTTATGCCCAGATTTCGTGATCCCCAAAGACCACCAGGGAGCCGAGTCCGATGCAATAGCAGAAAGCCTGTATTCCATGCTAGCATGGGCTCTGTCCCACTTACACTAACAGTGGCATGGCAGAATAGCGCAAGCTTCAACAGATCAAAGGGTTTTATAGGGGTGGTGATGTCACTGCTTTGGCTGACCCTGATTGGTTGGGTGAGGGTCCAGTTACAAAATGGAGGATAGCTCTGCCCTGCCCCATAGTACAAAATGGATCAGAAGTTAGCCCCGCCCTACCCTGCCCTCTCAATGCCCTGACCAGGAATTGAACCAGTGATCTCTTGGGTTCCTGGGTCAACACTCAACTGCTGAGCCACACCCTGCTGGGACTGGTCTCTGGTTTTGTAAGGTCTACCACTCAGGTTTAATACGTGGCCCTTTTCTCAACCACAATGGTCTCTAACTCATGGTGGTGGTGTTTTGAGAGTTAAACAGGGATTAGGACAGTGCACATAGTTGTAAGCACTCAATAAACAGTTATAATTACAGCTGTTGTAAGTACTAATTAGGCTTGGAGTCATGGGGGTGCCATGTGAGCTTGGCGACCTTATATTTATGACACCAGTTCACACACTTGTGTGAGCTTTTTCTAGCAGTAGCAGGGACGCTACAATTACAGGGAACTGCGAGGCTAGCAAGTGTGTGAAGAGGTGGGATGATGCTGGGGTGCAGGGTCTCAGCATGAATTTTCAGAGTGGAGCAGCTCTGGATGAAGCTGCACTTAGATATGATTACATGGGATGGTGAACTGGGAGTTTTGAACCTATTGTGCAAAGTTTCTAGAAGGTCGAGGCATACAGACCACGGTAAGGATATGGGCAAGGGGCACATTGGGAGGAGGATAGACTGGCCTGAATGCAGTGGCCTTCTCAGAGAATGAGGACATCGGCGCACAGAAGAGGCCTTACGGGGCACCTGGAGCAGAATATGTAACTTGCTTTTCTGCCTCTGTGTCTTCAGCCCAACTTGCGTCCCAGCAAGTTACCCTAACAAGTATACCCAGTTTACAGGGCATTATAAAATAATACTCTGCCATAGGACCAGGAACTGGCACATTTACAATACATGAAGGTTGACAATAAATAATTGAGCGGCAGGAAGAGGAGGTACAGATCTCTCTAACAGACATCCTCAGCTGTCATTCCTGACTCTCAGGGACATTCCAAATGCCCAGTGACTTAGTTAGTTGGAGGAGGTATGACTCCCTCCCACCGTCAGAGGACCAGTACAGAGTGGCTGTGGGGGATGCTACAGTATAGGGAACTGGGAGGCTAGCATGTGCGGGAAGAGCTCCGACTCTGAAATTAGATCCCCTTGACCTCATCCCCTCTCTACTACTTAGTAGCTGGGTAACACTAGCCAAGTCCAAATAGCCTTTATGTGCCTCAGTTTCCTCACCCATAAAATGGGGATAATAAAAGTGAGCTAAGCCGAAACCGGCCTGAGGACTGAAGGGTCCCGGGTTAGATTCTGGTCAGGGGCATGTACCTTGGTTGCGGGCACATCCCCAGTGGGGGGTGTGCAAGAGGCAGCTGGTCGATGATTCTCTCTCATCGACGTTTCTCTCTATCCCTCTCTCTTCCTCTCTGTAAAAAAAATCAATAAAATATATATATTAAAAAAAAAAAGTGAGCTAAAATATCCGTAAAGTGCTCAGGACCATGCCCGGTATGCAGTAAATGCTGCATAAACTATGATTACAGGCTACTGTATGGGATGCTGAAAGCCCTCGGGAATGATGTCAGGGCTGTGAGGGGAGACTGTAAAACAGGTGTCAAAGTCCTAAGGGAGTTAAGTAATCAGAAAATTACAGTAAACAGTGAGCTTGCTAGCATGTGTCTTCAAGGAAAAGGGTATTTTTCTCCTCAAAGAGGAAAAGAGAAGTGGGCTAGACCTGACCACACGGAAAGAGGAAGGTCCCCAGCCGCCAGGACGGAAAACTTGAGTCCTTGGGATTTCAGTTGTGGCGAGGAGGGGACTCTGGGTGAGGAGGGGACTCTGGGTGAGGAGGGGACTCTGGGCGAGGAGGGGACACTGGGCGAGGAGGGGACTCTGGGCGAGGAGGGGATTCTGGGTGAGGAGGGGACACTGGGTGAGGAGGGGACACTGGGTGAGGAGGGGACACTGGGTGAGGAGGGGACTCTGGGTGAGGAGGGGACTCTGGGTGAGGAGGGGACACTGGGCGAGGAGGGGACACTGGGCGAGGAGGGGACACTGGGTGAGGAGGGGACTCTGGGTGAGTAGGGGACACTGGGTGAGGAGGGGACACTGGGTGAGGAGGGGACACTGGGTGAGGAGGGGACTCTGGGTGAGGAGGGGACTCTGGGTGAGGAGGGGACTCTGGGTGAGGGGAGTGAGGTACAGGGAAATGGAGACAGCCCAGTGAGGGAGGGTCCTTTTCTGAGGAGAGGAAAGGGTGAGAGGAGAGGCAGGTGTGGTAAAGGACTTTATGTGGGGGGTGGTTTTCGTGTGTTAGTCAGAACCCTCAGCACACATGCCAGTAAACTGACCTCAAACACAAAGAGAGTAACTCATATTACCCAGAACTCAGGTGCCATTGTCTGTCACAGGGGCACCATTTCTCCCCGTTCCTTCTCAGCAGGCTCTCCACCTCATCTATGCGAAACCCCAGGCTTAGGTTCCCAACAGTTCAGTATCCCTGAAGGAACAGCATTCCTTTCTCTTGTTCTAGTAACTGTCCTGGAGGCTGGCCTTCACTGATTTGAGGTGGGATGGGGGATGGGAAGAAGGAGGGCATCAGTCGCGTTTGAACCATCTGCCCTGGGAGTGCGGAAAATCTAGAGGGCTATCAGAGAGAGGGAAATGGGTGACAGGCAAAAATGGTCATTCCTCCTTGTCCAGAAGAGAAGAAAGAGGTAACATGGGTGATAAATGAGCTTGCTCCAGGTCTCTGGGGCTCCAAGGGGGAGGGGAGGGAGGTTAGAAAAGAAGGTTTATTGTCTTTGTTCATGTCTGAATTTGAAGAAAATGCAGCTCTGGGGCTTCTGAAGCAAGCTTTTCTCAGATCATAGGTTTTTCCACGTGTGGCCCTTGGCATAGGCCTCATTTGGCATAGCTGGGGGTCCTTGAGGATACTGTGGATTCCCTGGGTTGCACCCAAACATACATATGGAATCACAGTCTTGTGAGGTAGACCCCCGCATCTGCATTTAAAGAAGCATCCAGGTAACTAGGCACACTGCCTTGGGATTGTTAAGCTCAAAGACTGTGTCTAGCAAG